CCCCCATTCTCTCTATTCCTATCTTATACTGCCTCTACAAACTATTTTTCTTTTCTTTCCTCCTATTTCTTTTCCCTACAGTTGCTTTTTCAATTTGCCTCATTAAATTTAACATTTTGGTAATATATTATTCAAAAACCTTAACAAAGGGGGAAAATCTTAAGTTTTTTACCACATCCAATTTAATTCTTGGGAATTACTATATATACAAAACCTTAAATAAAAGAATCGAAAATAATTAAAATTGTTACACTTCTAATTAGGCAGGAGAAAAATGCGAAAAAAGTGATGAAAAATAATTGGTCATTTTAGTTCTGGAGAAGTGCAACGTTATATCTCTATAAGTTAGATACAAATCGCATTCTTCACGCAATGACCTATAATCTATTAGTAAAATCCAACAAAATATAAGAACTTCTATACCATATATTTCTCCAAAAAAAAAAAAAAAAACAAATAAGAAAAATGCTTGTAACACCAGAGTCACCATTGCGACACCATGATCCATATACAACACACACAAAAATAAAACAACAAAAGTGACTTGAAAATATAAGTTGCATACAAACTACAAAAGTAATGAAATTTCATAGAAAAACTTGCCAAAATTAATCATGTATCATTAAAATGAAAGCTTGCCAAATTTCTTCACCAGCTCTTGGAACTTGATAGAAAGATATTTTTAGTATCATCATCTTCTTCATCTTGGTTTACTCCTTGTACATAAACATTGTCTGATATGTATAAGTGTAGATGCACATGCATTTGCTGAAAAATTTGGTTTTACTCTAATTTTAATGTTAAAACGAAAAAGAACTTGAAAATTCACCAGCCATATAGTTCAAATAAAACCAAAGACCACAATATATAGTTGGATCAGAAATTGAGTGGTCAAGCAGAGAATTGAAAAGATCAAAATATAGATAACAGATTAAATACAATTTAATACTAATAATTGTATAATTACTTCTAATAACGATTGGGAAAATGTAATGAAGAGCTTTCATTGGATTTGTGAAGAAAAATAAGAAGAGTGGGCAGAAACCGTTTCTGATTAGAATGCTAATACTCACTTATCAGCTTTATTTACACATTTTCTTCTTTAAGTCACTAAAGCTGCTTATTTTGCCCAAGAAATAATAATGCTAATAATGAGAAATTGTTATAAAAGAACAAGAGCAATATTGTAGAGAAAGAGAGAGAGGGAATTCTTATTGATTTTGGGATGAATTACAATAGAATAGAACCCTCTATTTATAGGGAGATGGTGACTTAGCCACCAAGTAATAAACCCTAGAATCTCTCTAAATATGGACATTCACCATAAATAGGATTCTATTTATAACACTCCCCCTGAATGTCTATTCAACAAATAATGTGCCTCGTTAAAACCTTAACTAAAAGAAAACCCAATGGCAAAAAAAATTCTAGAAAAGGAAAAAGAGTACACATGTTTAGAAATGCGCCTATTGGTTGCCTCGTTAAAAACCTTGCAAGAAAAACCCAGTGGGACAAAACCTTGTAAGGGAAAAAGAGTGCAACGCGCATTAACTCCCCCTGATGAGAGCATCAATTCACATCCTTGAGCCTTCACATCCCAATCTTGTGCACTAGCTTCTTGAAGGTTGACGTCGACAAAGATTTTATATCAGTTTCAATATATTTTCATAATGATATAACATAGAGATCTCTTCATTCATATATTCAGGTACCTGAATCTCTCATGCGATTTTATAAAGTGTTATGTCATGTGATCTTCTAGAACACTTGCCTCCTTTATTATGATCATTTGCTCATCTTTTTTATCAAGAAAGTTTATTTGAAACCGATTTGTCTATACGCTTTAAGCGTACTATAGAGTTTGTCCTTCTAGGACTTATTCGAATAGGAGCATTTGCAATGAGAATATAGTTACTTTCTTTGGGTCAGCAAATGCGTCTGGCATGCTTTGCAATAAATCGCACATGAATTATCCTTTTATGAACTTCAAGTTCATATTATTTTATTCGAGGATCTAGATGTATAAATGATAATTCATTCCATGTAACCTTTTCTCAACTGTTGTATCTTGTCTCCCCCTCATGTTAGAAAAACTAACTTGTTTCTTCAGCTTTGAGAACCCATCTTTGTGCGTTATGGTGTTAATCAAAATATACACCGCACATCAATAATAGTAAGATGGAATTATTTGGTTCCTGACCCTGAACCACTTGTGACGGGAAAATGAAATATACTTTCATATATAACA